CTCTGCCCAGTTGGCTCCCAGGGGTCATGTCCCACCACCTCTCACTTTCCAGTGGAGAAGCTCCTCTGGGGGACACATAAGAGCCCTCTGCCCCCACAGCTGAGGGAGGATCCTAGTGAGATCAGCCATCCTGGATGAGGCCTCCTGTCTGTAGCCACTGCGTATTTCTACCTCTGAGCACCCAGTGCAATATCGACCTCAGAGCTGGTCACTCCTGTCTAATAAAAACAGCTCCTTGGGAGCTGCAGAAGGGAACAAACAAGCTCAGTCAGACACATAAGAGCCCTCTGCCCCCACAGCTGAGGGAGGATCCTAGTGAGATCAGCCATCCTGGATGAGGCCTCCTGTCTGTAGCCACTGCGTATTTCTACCTCTGAGCACCCAGTGCAATATCGACCTCAGAGCTGGTCACTCCTGTCTAATAAAAACAGCTCCTTGGGAGCTGCAGAAGGGAACAAACAAGCTCAGTCAGGAGGCTCCCTGCCCCATCCACCTTGCCCAAGCTGCCTCTTATACCAAATTTTTTTTCTTAAGAGCAGAAACCAAGAGCTTTGTTGCTTCCACACAGGACAGCAGAATGGCAGCTGTGGTTTTCCCTGCCCCATACAAAGCTTTCCCTCCCTAAATCTGGCCCCAAGCCGTGACAAGTCATCATCGCTGTCGTAGCGCCTCGGATTGTCAAAGAAGTAGGCTCTGGAGCTGTAACTGTGACTGTTGACCATCCCCGCTGGAGTCTGTGACAGAGAAAGGAGTTAGGCCAGAAGTGAGATATTTTGGACAGTCTTCCTAAAGGCCTGCCCCCCCCTCCCAGCCCTTCAGAGCTCCTCCTGGGGTACTCACTACAGGGCTACTCAAGCTACAGCAGCTTGCTCAGGCCTACCAAGTTCTGACTCCGTCTCTGAGCCCGGAAGAACAGCACCACAAAAGTCGTTGGCACCAGCTCCCAGAGGAAGAGGACCACTCCAAACACCACATACTCCTCACTGCTCACTTCCATGTGCACCTGTGGACACACATTAGAGGTATCTGTATAATCCTGGCCATCAGCAGGGCTACACAGTTCCCAAAGCTGGGCACAGCACACAGCTTGGAACTAGGAATGCAGAGAAACTCCTATGAAGGCAGGAGTCCCTAAACCAGTCTAGTGATCCTTACCTGACTGCTGCTACTGGTTTTAGTGAGATAGTTCTCTTCAGCATGCTACCAGGGTACTTCTAGCTCCCTCCCCACACCATCAACTCTCCCTTGCAGACAGCCATGCCTTATTAAGCATTGCTTTTCTGCTCCAGTTGACTTGTTCCTCCTCTCCCCCAAAAGAGGAGTTGGCAGGCTACAACTGAAGAGCACAACAGGGAATCCCTGCCGAAGAAGTAGCCACCAGATGAGGAAGATTCAGGTTTGCTCTGAGGGAGACAGCAACTAGGGCTTCTGAAAGCAGAAAGCCAGCTCATCCAGGAATTCAGCTAAACAGACACCCCCACATAGACTCTCCTTTTCCCCTACACATGCCCTCACAGGACATTAGAGTAACTGCCTCTCACTTTACTAGCTCTGATGGGGGGCACCGACACTTACCTTGTCTGAAAGGTTGTCCCAGCCATAGTTAAAAGGACCAGGAACATTGTCTGGAGATATGGCCACAGCTACCAGGTTATAGCAAGCCCTTGAGGAATACAGAAGAGCGACTACAGATCCCACAAGAATAGCCTGGCAGACAGATGTTCCCTAGGAGAGGAAAAAAACCTCAGCTTTAATACAGACCTTCCTACAGAGCTGCAATTCCCCCCCCTTAAATGCACGAGAAGCTGCACAGGCAAGAGTGACCTACAACATTTGCATGTTGTTGCTAAAATATTCAGAGCTGGTTAAGAGCTTCCTTGTGTGATGAGTTCACTGCAGAGCTACACAGCCAGCATCGCCAGGGAAGACTCAAGACACAGGACTGTCATTCTCAGGATCTTTCCAGTTGCTTCAAACTGCTAGTCCAGAGATGCTATCCCACTCGCCGCCCTTCTGTGGCAGTCTCCAGAAGGGCAGCCAACAACCATTAAAAAAAGAAGTCATCTTGCTGTTTCTACACCCTGATCAGTCTCTACAGCAGAGATGTCCACCCAGCTCATTCACTCTGCAGCACTGTGGCACCCCTAACATTGAGCACAATGTTTGTCTAGGAAAGAAGGCCAAATATTTGGGGTGGGCAACTGAGAACAGGCAGAAAGACCCAGCACCTGAACTCCAGCACTGCTGTGGGACAAACCAGGCTTTGCTGTGCACAGAGCAGTGTACTAAAGGGTGGCTAGATGTTGCAGGACCTCTGCCTCCTGCTAGCTGCCCTGTGCTGGTGAAGAGCTGCTGCTTTCTCCACAATGTTTCAGATGCAATGCTGTCAGAGGGATAGCTGCACGAGGTACCTAAAGGTACCTTTCCTGGACAGCTAGCCAGTAGAGAAGCAGCTACTTTTAGATCTACAAGTGTCTCCATTTCTTTGCTAAATACACCCATGAAGACTTTTAATAGGTACTAATAACCACAGCAGAAGCCAGTGGTAAGTAAGTGGGCAAACACACCACAGCAGCTGACTTGCTTTTGCATTTAGAGAGACAGTCTGCTCAGGAAGCTCATCTCATTGACCTGCCCCACATCCAAGCTACAGGTACACGAGCTCTGTTTTCCTAGCTTTACAGCACTTGCTCAAGACAGCATCTTGGAAGAGAAAGCATGAAGTGCTGCTAACAGACAAGTCCCTGTGACATCACTGAAGTACAAGAACACAGCCTGCTCTAGCACCGTTAGCTGAGCCCTTGGTATTTACAACAGCAGAATAAGAGGCAGAAAGGCAAGTGAAGCAAGTCTCCAGCTGACAAGGACCATGGTGTAGGATCTGGCAGCAGCTCACTAGCACAGCCTCCTTCTCAAGTGTCAAATGGCTCAAGCCTTCCTACCTTCCTTGGATGCAGCAGCCTCACCCAGCCCCTCCAGCCTAGCTGTATTGCTTTGAGTCAGCAGGTTCACATCTGGAGTTCAGGAGACAGGACAACCTTTTCAGGCATTTGTGTAACACTTCAGCTCATCCCCACCCTATTTTTGCAGCTCCTCCACAACACAGTCAGAGGATGCCTCCAAGGCAGGGAAGGGAGACAGCATTTGAATGCAGGAGACCTTTACCAGACAGTCAGGCTGAGTATTCAACCCCAGAGCAGGCTTCTCTAGAGCATGTTGTACAAGAGCAGAGCCCCACAGGCAGCCTCGGGTGTGTAACCAGAGGAACTTACCGCATTCATAAACTACTGCTGGGTGAACCTGATAAGTTAATAGTGTCCAGAGCCAGTCAGAGCTGGATACCTGGCCCATTCAAGCAGGATGTGAGCAGGTTCTCAGCTTAGTCACAGCTCCTGTCTCAGTTCAGATCACCTGGCTGCAACTGGCAGCCTCCACGGGACAGCTCTCATCTGAGCCAGGCATGGCAGTGGCTTACACCCATATAGATTCACCTGATTGAGGGCACATTGGAAATAAAATCTCTGCAGGAGGCCAGAGCCCCACCTTCTTCCCCCTGGAAAGAGGTGATTCAGAGCACACAAGGTGAGGAGCTGTATTGCTGGGAAAAGGCAGTAGCTCAAGAGTACCAGAGCCAGGCAGCTGGCTTCCCTGAGCCTGACTATGCTCAGGAGCTCAAGTTTTTCTATAGGTGTTTCCAGGCTCATCAAGAGACTGCTGTCTGCCTTTCTCAACAGGCCAGGGACTCACCCTGGGATCACTGCCTTTGATAGGGGCCATATGGCTTCCCAGAGGAAGAGGAGGCAGCTCAAGTGCACACTTAATTGCAGCCTACTGCTATACTAAGATAAGACTGCTGGTGGCTTATCAGCTTTCTTACCTGCTTGAGAAGAGCTGTGTATGTTCAGACCCTCACCTATCCTTCTGCCTTGGGGCAGAACATCAGCAACTTCTCCCCTTCTAAGATGCTCATCTCAACCAGGAGAAGTGAGCACTGTTTGGCTCAAGCAAGCAGGCAGCTAAAGCTAGATTGCTGGGGGGATCCCCTTTGCAGGGAATCATCAGGCATCTGCCAGAGGTAACAATATGCTGCAGACTTCACTGTCCTTAGTGACAATATACTGCAGAAACTGCATCTGCTACTCTTAGAAAGCCCTCTCCCAGTCAAACCCTAAATGATACTTCTAAACCTGAAAAAGCATAAGCAGCTCTTAAGTCTCCTGCTGTGCCAGCAAAGCTGCAGACAGTGTATTCCCCTAAAACATGCAGGGTGCTTCATTCCTACAGCAGGAGCATGCATTTCTGGAGGGAGGAGTCACCTCCACACTGGAAGGAATATTTCAGCAAGAGTAGCTCAGGTGCCACCAGGCCAGCATTGCTCTGAGTAAGCACACACAGATCCAGTTGAGAATCCAACTGATGATTGTGCAGCTCTAGCTTAGATGACAAAGCATTTACCTACCTTAGACTCGAGGTAGACATTCGCTGAAGACATCTTTCCCAGTTTGCACATGCAGCAAGCCAGCGAGATGGCACAGAGGATGAAGAGGCTGTCGTTGACTAGGGCGCGGGCAAGGACTGTCCACCTCAGCTGGTTCTCCGGGACCTCACCATGGATTAACATTGCACAAGTTAAGTTCACAACTAAGAAGAGGAGGCTGGTAAATATGGAGCCCAAATACAACAGGACCCTGGAGAGATGGGGGGGGGGGGAAAAATGGAGTTCAAGTCAGACAATTCTGCACAGCCTCCTGTCTCATCGGGCAAGAGAACCTCCCAGCATGCCCACTGCTCTGCTTGCCATGAAGATCAGACATTCCAGCAAGTTTCAGTGGTTGTATTGACAGCCCAAGTCTGCAGAGTATTTGTTTGAGCTGCTCTCATAATGCATGAGCAGTGTAAGTAGTCATGAGTTACAAGACTCATCTTCTGACAGTCAGGTTCTTATCTTGCAGATTTTAAGTGTTGCTCTAGCTCTGCATTAACTTCAGTCAATAAGCTATGAGTCATCACAACCACTGCAACTTCTTTATTGAAAGCCACTGGAGCTTGCATTGTCCGTTGTGGGTTTCCCTGGAAATGGGCTGGAAGCACATAGGCTGGAAGCACATAGGCTGCACAAACACAGGTCTCACCTATTGCTCAAGCCTTACCCTGCAGATCTTTTCTGGGGGTAGGGCAGCTCAGAATGACCTCAAGAGTTCAGCTAGTTTGCTAGCAGCACCAGTATTGGGATGCTGATGACATGCATGGAGGCACGCAGCATATGCTTTAGCTTCCTCAGTACCCTTGAAGTTCCCAGTCCTGCTCCAAGGCACACCACTGATCCTGCTGTCAGAGCACAGCTAGGTAGGGCATGAGCTCTGTTCAGTCTTTGTCGTCTGACGTTCCCATTCCGAGCACTGCAGCATGAATTCAGACCTTAAGCCAGCTTTTAAGGTAGCATTAGAAAATATCACTTACTTGTACTTGTTGAATTCAGCTGCACACTTCACTTTGAATATGACCTAGAAGAAAGATTTGCACAGCATTATTTCACATGACCCACAGCTCTCCTTTAAACTTAGTAAAGATATATACAACCAGGAAGCCAGCATCCACTTGGACATCTTGAAGGACTCTAAATTATCTGTTAGCACCAGTCTTGCACTGGACCCACTTGCAAGAAAGACCAGTATTCTTTTTCCTGCAAGAGCCAAGCCCAAATGTAGGTGTCCAATAAGCACAGAGTCATAGAATCATTTAGGTCAGAAAAGACCTTTAAGATCATCAAGTCCAACTGTCCACCCAACACTGCCAAGTCCACCACTAAACCATGTCCCTATAAACACATTTAACATCCCATATGTGACAAGGACTTTAATACATCAGACCTAAGGACTTCAAGAAAAAAGCCAGGAGTTCAGCACTCAGTAATCACTAAGAACATTCAAAAATACATCTACTTTGCCTAGTGTTCTGTGCTGCATATTTTAGGACCTCAATCATGCTTGATTTCCCTGTTAGAAAAGGCCACTTCAGCTGCTGTGCTTTAGCAAGACAAATAGCTGATCTAAAATAGCCCTCTGGTATTGGATTATGGACCTGCAGGCTGTAACACGCATTTGGAGCTCACAGCTCCTCCACCTGTAAGAAGTTGGTATGCCAAATACACCTGAGAAGTAACTCTGAGATGGCAGGAAGACCTCCATGGGTAGAAGGCCCAGCATGCCAAACTGCATGGCACACTCGACAGACAAGTGTCTTAGTCTGCAAATAAGAGACTGTCATCTATTTCACTCTTCAAAGCAACACACACTCTGTCCAAGAGTGGATCTGGGTTCTGTGAATCTCCTTACCGCACAAGGTATTAGGAGACTCAAGCTGAAAGTTGCACAGGAAGGACCAGCGCTTCAAAGCAAAGGGTTATAAGCCTCTCCTCAGACCGCAGGTTCCGCACCCCTACCTGCACCCCCAGCCATTTGGGGTGCATAACAGCTCAGATGTTACTTGTCCTGCTCCAAGGGGACAGCTAACCATGCTCACACACAGTCAGGATAAACAGCAGAAAGCAGCATGCTGGCAGAGCTACACGGAGCTCGCTTGTCACACACTGACTGCACAGCCGTGGCAGGAACTGGGTTTTGTCCTGTGAAAGATGCAGATCCTGGTACAGACCCCACCAGGAAGGATCCCAGAGCTGAGGTCACAGCCTCAGACAAAGCTCGTGTCCTGACTACAGACTTTGAAGAACTTGGGAAGAGGTAGAAAGCCATCTACCCAGATCCAGCAGACATGTACTTGTGGTCAACACAAGACCACTGTGGGATCACCACACAGACATAGAGGTTTAGTTTCACTGCTTCTGCAAGGAGCCCTCCCTGTCAGCTTCCAGGCTGTGGCTGCAGTGAAGGATCACTCATCTCTTACAAGACACCCTTAGTCAGCTTTTTCCTGATGGAACGACTTCGCTCCCACCTTCCAGTCAGCACCGAGGTAGCAATGGCACTCTGAAGCTTCAGAAGTCAGGCTCCTGTCAACAGGACTTCCAGAGACATTTCAGGATTTGAGGGTTGTCTGATCCATTATAGTAGTTTTAAGCATTTGAAAGCCTTCCTACAGGGCATCAGGACAGCTTCAGCAACCCTGTTCCAAAAGCTAGTTTCACTGCCTGGCTCCTCTCACCCAGTCTGAGCAAGGATGAACTCAAGAAACACTTAGAAGCAGGGAATAATACATGGTACATCAGCAGAGGGAGGTACCCAGCCCTCATGGCTGAAGGGCACAGCACTACAAGCCATCTCTGTAGCCCTCTACCCTGTTGTCCTGGCCTATATCAGCCCAGAGAAATACAGAACTGTGGCATAATCCACACTGAGCCTCAAAGCTCATCTGAGTTACAGGAAACCTGGGCCTTGGAAGGACCATGTGGTAACTTCACAACAGAAAAAACCCTGAATCCTCCTGTCCTTAGTTTGCCTGTAGGCTACATTCAAACACTTTGCAAGTGTCAAAACAGACATCAAGGACATCCAGCTGGGAAACCTCTTGGTTCAGGACCCACTTGCACAGCATAGAAATCCATCTGAGGTATGTGCAACTTCTGCTCTGACTCCCAGAAGAGCAGTCTGTAACCACAGCCTCTGAACAGCAGTGCTAAGGGAGTCCCTGGCTTGTGTTCCAGCTGATTCCCCCAGGTGAGAACAGCCCCTCAGCTGAGCAGGGAAATGCCACTGGCTAACAGAAAAAAGATGCTGGCTTCTGCAGCAGCCCTGTGCAAGGCAGTCTCCCAAGACCTTCGGCCCTGGGGACTAAGGCACACAAAGCTGTCTCAGGGTTAAGAGTGCAATGGCAACCTGAGACTCACACTTGGACTGCTGCCACAAAAAGCAGAGGGAGACCATGGCACCTGCCTTACACTTTTATTAGCCCCCCAGCTATTTAGTCCTATAACTTCAGGAAAAGAACAAGCATTGCTCAGTTTACAGTGGTTTTAGTTATTAGACATGATAACTTATCTGAAGGTTGCTTTTCCCCCCCCCCCACAGAGGCTGGGTCAGGAGGTGACACCAGTAGTGTTCAGGATGCACCTTTGGGTTCCTATCCTTGAGACAATCTTGCAAGCCTTTCAGCACTGGACTATCTCTGTTGCTTTTGAAGCTCAAGGACAGCTGATGCAGAGGGTTCTGCTGTGAAAAAAAATAGCAGAGAGCTCAGGAGTAGTCCTATTCATAAAAATAGGGAATAGACTCCTGCCCTCAAACAGGTGCATTATGCCAAGTTGCTAGTAGCAGCCCTTGCAAACTGAACAGTTCTAGGGGAGAGGCCAGCCCCAGAAGTCATGCAGTTGCCTACTGACAGCAAGGAACAGGGGTCCCTGCTAGCCCAGAGCAGCAAGGCTTGAGAACATTTACTCCTAAGCAAGCCTTTTAGAACAGTTAGGCAATAGTCAGTTGTCTTTCTGGAGCCACAAGTCCTTTGAGCACTTCATATCAGCCACAGACTTGGGAGGGAGGCAAGGCCAAGAAGAGCTGCAGCCTCGAAGTCCCCTGTGATGCTGGAGGCTTTTGGTTTTGTGAAATATATCCACTCATCACAAAAGTGAATACCTTGTTCACATCACTGAGCCCAGAAAGTAAACTTGCTAAGGGTATGTTCTCAGAGCATTGTTTAAGAAACACACCCCTTCTTAGAAGGTTTACTGGAGGTGTCACAGCTGCTAAGAGAAGGTGACAAGTGACAGACACCATATCCCTCAGATAGCTCTAAGGACCACGTTCAGCACTTGTACAAGCCAGGACCTTAGCCCTAACATTGAGCCTCAGATAGCACTTGAGCTTGGTTTTGGTACAGCTGTCCACAACAGATCTGAAAAATCCGGGAGAGCCAGAAAGTTGTTATTGTTTGATGGAATCAAAATCTCTTTTGCTCCATAAAGAAATCATGGGTTTGGGCTCTCCAGATACAAGGCAATCACATCCTGCCTTGACATGAACACAGCCCTCTCAGTTGCAAGAGCACCCACAGAGATTCCTTTTTCACCACAGTCATTCAGTAGCAAGCATCAGAGCAGAGCACAGACTATTTTGGGACAACACCCCATAACAAATGTTCAAGGCCCCCCCACCCCACCCCAGAGAAAAAGTTGGAACTATCTGTGAGGAGGATCTCTCACCATCTCCACTAATACTGAGATCATCCTATGCCACTGTGAACACAGGGTACAACTACATGTACCCTCATTTCCTAGAATAGCTGGTTGCTGGCATGGCCACCTGCTCATTCAGGAACCATGGGGCCCATTGGAATCATCAGCTATGGGATGGAGTAGTTTTGAGTTTAAGTGACCCCTTACCAGCTGTCCCTCTGAGGCAGAGGGCACAGGCTAGGTGTCTGCTAGACAAGCAAGGTAGAAGAGTGCAAGAATGGATGGAGGCTTTTCCAGTTTCCCATCTGAGAAGGCAGGAAGATACAAGACAGCAAGGGCAAACAGCTCCCAGGTTGGATGCTCCTTCCATGCATGTCTGCTCCAGTGCAATTAGAGCAGCAAGGGATGAAAAAGGCTGATGTCATCTAGTCAGATGGAGCACTTAACGAAACCCAGACAGGTTAAGGGTTATGGCCACAGCAGTCTGGCAGAGCAGCCCGTCAGAGCCTCACCACTCCAGCAGAAGGCCTTACTCATTGTTGCACACAGTTGCTGACTCCCAAGTGAGACAGGGATGCCAAGTGCTCAAAATTGTCTTTGAAAGGGTAAAGATGGAGGTTGTGGCTACATTTCCACATGCTATGCTCCTGACAATGACCTGGGGAAAAGCAGGAATTGGCAGACCCTTGGGAAAGGTAACATTACTCAAGCAGATGTCTAGCTGGCAGCAGAGGAGCTATTTGAAAAGCAAGGCAGAAGCACCCTGGATTGGATATCTGAGCCATTGTTCTGCCCATTTCAGGCAAGAGTGGGAGTGGATCTAAGGAATTCTGACCCGATGCACCGTGAACTCCAGAACTGCTAGAAAGGAACTCGTTCTGTTACAAGCTGAAGCAGAAAGGAAGACATGCTCCCAAGCATTACACCTTTTGATGTTTCAGGTGGAAATAAGGCAGTGACAAAAAGAAACTGTCACCACCAAATAAGCATTCCACACACATTTTGTCAGGCCTTCACATCCCCTCAGGAATCGCAGGGTCAGGAGGAAATAGGAAGAGGACAGCCTCTCCCCAAAAAACAGAGGAACACTAGCAGTCTCACTAGTTTGAATTTCAGCCCCAGAACAGCCTGAGTGCAAAATAATGCTAGCTCTCCACGGGTATTTGTTGTTTCCTGGAGCTCTTTCCCCACCCAGCACCATTTCATTCTCAGCTTGTACACAGCCTGAGGAACTCCTTAAATCAAGCAAGATTAGCTCAAATAACAGCACAAGTCACATTTTCTTCCACTGCTTAGACAGATGCCATTTCTCCAGCATCTCCACAAAGGAGGCACTGTGTACAAAGACAATTAGCCAGGCCTTCAGCACAGAAGCAGCCT